CATAAGTTAGAATTTATTCCAGGCAACTAACAACACCACCATCATGTGGAGGAATTTCCCTTTTATTCCTAGTTTTCTGAATGTTTTTATCATGAAAGAGTGTGTCAAATGCTTCTTGTACCTCAATTGAAATGATGTAGTTATTTTACCTCATTCCAGTAATGTGGTGTTTTACATTGATTTATTTTCTTCCATTCCTTTTAATTTGCTGTTGGGTTCAGTTTGCTACTATTTTGTTGAGGATTTTGCATCTATGTTCATAAGAGATACTAGATCTAAAGTTTTGTTTTCTTGTGCTGTCTTTATCAAGATAATGCTGGCCTCATAGAATGAGTTAGGAAGTGTCTCCTCCTAGTCTAGTTTTTCGAAGAGTTTGAACAAGATTGGTGTTAATTCTTCCTTTTAAATGTTTGGTTGAATCACCTAGTGAAACCATCTGGTCCTGGACTTGTCATTGTTGGGAGTTTTTTTGATTACTAATTCAGTCTCTTCACTTCTTAGGGGTTGTTTGAGATTTTCTGTTTCATCTTGAGTCAATTTTGGTAGTATGTGTGTTTCTAGTAATTTGTCTGCTTTATCTAGGTTATCTAATTTGTTGACATAAAATTGTTCATAGTAGTCTCTTATAATCCCTTTTATGTCTATAGGGTTGATAGTTATATCCCCACCTTCATTTCTGATTTTAGTTATTTGTGTCCTCTCTCTTTTTTTTTTTCCTTCTTGTCAGTCTACCTAAAGGTTTGATGATTTCATTGAAATGTTCAAAGAACAAACTTTTGTTTTTGTTGATCCTCTATTGTTTTCCTATTCTCTATTTCATTTGTCTCCGCTCTGATATTTATTATTTCCTTTCTTCTGGTACCTTTGGGCTTAGTTTGTTCTTTTTTTCCTAGTTCCTCAAGGTGTAAAGCTAAATTACTGATTTGAGATCTTCTTTTTGAATGTAGACATTCAAAGCCATGTTTCCTCTGAGCACTGCCATTGTTTCATTTCATATATATTTTCTTTTTGAAGGGGGAGGAAACAAGGGAAAGATAGACTGTTCTGCAGTTTTCCAGGAGGAGAAGAATTGTGGTTAGAAACTATAAGTGGTAGATAGCAGCATAAAAGAGAACAGACAGGCCATGTCCTATTGGAGGGAACCTCATTTGGGGATTGCGGGGGGGAGTGGATAAATGGAGGAATTTAGGAAGCCCTGGCTGTAAAAGGATAGTGTTCCCAGGGGAATGTAATGGCAGGTAACTCTGGTCCATTCAGTTCATTATCTGGAAGCTTCTGAGGAGCTATTCTTACTCATCCTCTAAATTTCTCATCTCTTCTCTTGACTCTTGCCCTTTCTTGTTTCCTAGTATTGGGAATAGTAGAAAAAGCACTTGTCCCACATATGCTCCACACATCTCAGGATAGAAATGAAATATTTTCCATAAAGGTATTTTTATGTGTGATCATTTTATAGGATTTTCAGTATAATAAGCAGAAAGTCTCTTTAGCAGAACTGTATTCTTCTTTATCTTTGGTCCTAGAAGCACTAGGGAGCAGACCACACAGGATAACCTCTGGCCCTTTCCAGCTGCTGCTTCTAGAGCTGCAGGCTCTGCAGGCACACTGTCAGCTTTCCACATTTTTGCAGGTCACAGTTATACCAACTATGTTGATGCATCATAAAAAGGTTCAGCCAATTTCCAGACTCATAAAAAAAAGTTTCTTCAAAATTTGTAAATGAAATTATTATTAATTTAAAACAATCATTATGTCCTCTAATTATTAGCCATTTAGAAGCTAAATGTTTGAAAAGAACACACCTAAACTGACTCTCTTGCCTTTCTCCGTGATTCCAACCCCAAACACCTTATACATACTGAGTACATATTTTCTCAGGATGCATCCTAAATGTTGAGAGGATTTTCAGACACCATCACCCCTAACATCATTCCTCTCTTTAAATAAAAATGATATATGCACTCTGTCTTTCATACTGTATTACTAGACAAGAAGGGACATTACCCCTCCACTAGTGCTCCTGGTACACTTCCATGCTACTTCCTTTGTAACCCCGTATTAATTATACTCTCACTAGCAGTTGCAGTTGTTTTCTCTTGACTGTATCCTTCTTTTCTCACTCAAAATTTATTTAGATCTTTTCTGCAAGACTCCCTTACCCCCAACCAAAAAATAATTCTTAAAGTCCTTGTAACCCCTCCTCTCTGTCCTTTCCTTTAACCAGTGGACTTCATGAAAGGGCCCTTGGAGTGACTTAAGTCTATTACCTTCAGCCTTAGTTAACGTTAACCCTTTCTAATATGCATTCATCCTTCTACTGTAACAGTTTTCCCCCACCCCACCAAAGGCTGCAGAACTAACAATCTAGGGGCCATTTCCAAGCCTTCAAACTTTTGACACCAAGGGCTAGCTTAATAAAATGCCCTTCTATCTTTTGTTAGCACGGAAGTGTAATGAATGAGTGAAGGCTTTGGAGTCATAAAGACCTGGTCCCAAGTACCACTTCTACCATCTACTTACTACCCATATAACCTTATGCAAAAGTCATCTCTTATAGTCTTAATTTACTCACCTGTAAAATTAGGATACTACCATATAGTTCATGAGCTTGTTAATGAAGATTAAATGTTTTACTCTTTTAGCTGGTTTCTTATAGACTCCTAAAAATTGGTACAGCCCTTAGTATATCATTTGTATGTCCTTCTTGAAGAACTTATTTATTATCTAGGCTTCAGCAATCTCCTCTGGACTTAATGATTTTTGAAATCATCTCTAGCCCTAATTCCTCTTCTGAGTTCCAGACCCATATTTTAACTGCATACTAGACACATTTAACAGCTTGAACACTAAATTTAACACCACACTTGATTTCTTGTCTCTCAGGCCAGCACTTCAACCTGACTTCCCTATTTCAGTCTTCTAGATTCGAAATTGAGTTTCAGGGACTTATTTTGACAAATGAACAAATTTGAGATCTGTTAGTTGCATAATGTAGAAAAGCTATGAATAATTGTAAATCCTATCAAAACCATGAAGTTAATGATGAAGTGAGGCATCAGAAAGGTGGTTTTGGTTTTTATATTTAAAATAACATGTTTCTTTTCTCCCTTTTAAATTAAAATAGATAAGTTGAGAATAAATTAAGGGCTCGTGGGCTGTCAGTCATGGTATCCTGTCTTCCCTATTGCCCCCAAATTGATTTAGAGTACCTAGAATCAGATTTACAAATATGTAAGACATTTTATCAAAAGAGGATTATAAAAAGATTTTCAGATTCTACTACATTAAAATAAAAAAAATTATTGTCATAAAACATGTAACAAAACATTTGCCATTTTAACTATTTTTAGGTGTACAGTTCAATAACATTAATTATATTCACCATGTTGAACAACCATCACCACCATTCATTTCCAAATGTTTTTTCTTCACCCTAAATAGAAACTCAGTACCTCTTTTAAGCAATAACTTCCCATTTCTCCCTCCATTCAACACCTGGTGGCCTCGAATAAACTTTGTCTGTACTTGTCAATTCTAGATATTTCATATAAGTGGGATCATACAGTATTTGTTCTTTTGTGACTGACTTATTTCATCAGCATGATGGTTTCAAGATTCCTCTGTGTGATAGAATGTATCATAACTATTTTTATGGCCAAGTAATACTTGATTTATGTATATACCATGTTTTGTTTATCCATTCATCTATTGATGAACATTTAGGTTGTTTCTATATTTTGGCTCTTGTGAATAATGCTGCAGTGAACATTAGAGTACAAGTATCTGTTTGAGTTCTTGCTTTAAATTCTTATGGGTATATGTCTAGGAGTGGAATACATTAAAATTTAAAATTACTGTATGACAAACATGAACAAAGTAGAAAAAGTACATTACAGTTTTAGAGAAAATATGTACAATTCATATCACCAAAAAGTTATTCAAATCCAAAATAGATAAAGAACCCCACAAATCAACACAAATAACCCTGTAGAAAAATGAGCAAAGGACAAAATCTATGTTCTTCTTCCATGCCATTTGAGTTTCAGTAGGACACAAAGCTGCTGAGCTAGAAAGTTTGTCACTTTCTTTGCAGCCAAGCATGACAAGTTCTTACCAACAGAATTTGAGCAGTAGCGACTGCAACTTATGAAATCATTTTCTCTGGACTGAGTTCTTTTCTGTCTTTGGTCTGAAACCTGGACATGACCGCAACTCAGGTTCAGGGATGCAGATCAGGGCAACACTCCAGGGAATGGAGAGGAACAAGATAGAAGGAACCTGGGTTCATAAACTACCATGAGAAGCAAAGATGCCCCACCAGCCTTGACCTCTTACCCTCAGAAATAGTACACAACAGAAAAATTAATTTTTTTATTTAAACCATGACTCTGTTTTAGAACCTCTGTTACAGCAGTTTAACCTATGCCCTAATTAATATATAAACTGGTACCAGGACTGGGGAACTGCCATAAAAATTTAAAATGTGTGACGTGATGATCAGGCCCTGAGAGACCGATACTGGAGTTAAATATATTTGTTTACAGATGAATTACTGTAATCTTAAAAATAAGATTCTTAGCTGTTATTGGAAACCCTGGTGGCATAGTGGTTAAGCGTTTGGCTGCTAACCAAAAGGTCAGCAGTCGAATCTACCAGGTGCTTCTTGGAAACCTTATGGGGCAGTTCTGCTCTGTCCTGTAGGGTTGCTATGAGTCAGAATCAACTTGACGGCAACAGGTTTGGTTTTTGGTTAGCTGTTAATTAGTTGAAACTTCTCTGTGTCAGTTGTAATTTGGGCACAAGGAAAAGTATGCCGTGTTTTATATTAGTATCATTTTCGGTAGAAAATAAATATAAACAATGCTATTTATTAAGTACCTAAACTTTCTTGTGAAGAAAAATCATTGGTTCGATTCTTTTCCACTACAGTGTATGCTTTATAGATAAATTAATGATACACACACAAAATGATTCTTTATATCCTCTTGTTTACTGTTAAGCAGAAATCAAAGAACAATCTGCAGAAGAGGATGCTGAAGCAGAAGTGGACAACAAACAGCCAGTTCCACCTCTTCAGAGTTCTGTGTCTGAGGAGTCTGCCAGCTCCATGGTCTCTGTTGGTGTGGAAGCCAAAATCAGGTTAGAGCATGACTGCAGTGGATTGGATGTTAGTAACAGGAAGAATGATAATGAGTTGGGCATGGAGAAAATTTGAGAAGCACAAGTTTAGGAGTAAATCTGGGTGGAATTTTATTATTTAGTAGCTTTAAATTTGAGGATGATAGCTCTCTTTTCTCATTGAAGGAGAGTACATCTGTGTGCTTCAGCTATTTAGAGCAGAGCATTAGGTTAGGGTGTTACTCCAGTCCCCTCAGACTAGTACCACTCATACCACTACGCTATTCCTAGCAGAAGAAGTAACCATGCTTTTAGCATAAAGATCAATTTTTTGTGTTTACCTATAAAATTAAGTGTAATTTGAAGTCTTATGTTTTTTAGCATTTATTTGAAAGACATGAATAAAACTATGAAATTGTCTATTGGTTGATTACTCCCATCTTCTTGAAATTTTTTTTCACTTTTGCTTTTGGCATATCTTACTCCTCTCGTGTGTTTTGCTGGCTTCTGCTAGACTCTCTACCTTTATAATGTTGGAGTCCTGAGGGCTAAGTCCTTAGATATCTTGTCTGTGTGCTCATGAACCCACATTTATATTTCTAGGGTTCCCCTTTTCCTCAACTCCAGACTTTCATACCCATCTATCTACTTGACATCTCCAGTTGGAAGCATACTAGACACGTCACCCTTAACATTGTCTAAAACCACTGTAGAATTAGGAATTCAGAATTAGAATTAATCTAAAATTGTACTGCTACTGCAGTTTGATTGAAACTAGTATAAGCTTTCCTTTTTACTCATTTATTAATAGAACTTGGAATTGGTAAATGCTTCTTAGAATTAAGAAGTACAGAATGTAACATATTTTCTAGTTTGTAGTTGAAATCTGAGAGCCTTCTGAGAGCATTCTATATATCCTCTAGGTCAGCTTCTGGAACCCTTTGTAGCCTCTTGCTTGATTCTTCTGCAGATCTTAAGGACTAATGATGCCTGACTTCCTTATCTTACCTTTATGTGCCTGTAGGCCTTGTACAGTGCCTAATATTTAATTGGTTCTCATCAAATACATGTTGAAAGAATGGAAGTTAAAAGCTATTTATGAATCTATGAAAATTTAATTTGTAATGATCATGACTTTTCAAACCAGTAGAAAATAATAGATCATTCAGTAATGACTACTTAGGAAAAAAATAGATCATACAATAAATGACATTGAGATTGTTGGCTAACCATGTAAAAAATAAAGTTAGATTGATGCTCACACCATACAGAAGAATAAATTTGAGAGGGATTAATGAATAATGCTAATGTTATTTATTTCTTGTGGACTACACCACTATCATCACAGTCATCTTCATCAGGCAGGAAAGAGAGAATATACACTCTGCAGATATGTAGCAGATTGTAGATAAAGACTTGGCCTTTAGTCCAGGCTCTGCCCCTTTTTTATTTTTATTAAATTTCAGCTAAAATCACTAGGCTGAATTTTACTGAAATTTAATGATTCAGTGCATAAAATGTCTAAAGAATCTACAGGTAATTTATTATAATTAATAAGATTTCAGCAAGATTGCTAGATAGGAAATCAGAATACAAAAATCACTTGTATTTCTGTATGTCAGAGACAGATGTAAATGATATTTCTTAGAATAATATTTTCTTATATTCTCAAATAATACCACATCTCTAGACAAGTGTGCAAAAACATAAGTAAGTCCTTTATGGGGAAAATTATAAAACTTTATGGAAAGATAATAAAGGACACCAAAATAATAGAAATATTACATTCATGTTTCGGGAGACTCAATATTCTAAAAATATTAGTTATTTCCTGTTTGATCTATAGAGTCAAGAAAATCCTAATCACAATTTCTACAGTTATTCTTAAACTTGACAGGCTGATTTAAAAAATTTATTTGAATATGCAAAAAACAGTATAAGCCAAGATACTCATATGGAAGAAGAGGGAGAGTTGCTTTTTCAGGTACTAAGATTTCATAACACCCTAGTAATGAAGTCAGTGTTGTATCATCACAGGGATAAACAAATAGATCAGTGGAATGGAACAGGTAATGCAGAAACAGATACATAAGTAATATGGATTGATTATTTATGACAAAGTGGCACCACAAATCAGTGGGGATATCTTTTTCAATAATTGTACTGGGACAATTAGATATCCACACTAAAAAAAAAGAAAGTGAACTTTTATTCATGTCAGTTTAAATTAGATTATAGACTTAAGTGTGAAAGGCAAACCAATAAAGTTTTTAGGAGTTAATGTTGGAGAAATTTTTTTATTACTTTGGAATAAGGAAAAGCTTTTTGAAAACAAATAAAAAGAACTAATAAAGCGATAAATACCACTAAAATTAATAACTTCTTTTCATAAAAGATACCAAAACAACAGTGAAAATATGAGTGACAGAAAGGGAGAAATATTTTTGAGGTATATATATGATGAAGGACTTGTACCTATAATGTATTAAAAAAAAATACTCCTATAAACGAATTGATAAAAGACAGTAAAAGGCAAAAACCTTGCAGTAAGCACTACTTGATTGTGACATATTTTAAAATACATGATTGACTTTTAGTTACCTAATGTTTTGTTCACATAGAGAAGCTATACAAATATTTGTAATTTTTGTTTTTGCTTTTGTTGTATTGTCCTAGTCTTGGAAACAAAATTATACTAGCTGTGAGCCCTACGTCTTTCAGTTTTCCTATACTGTATTTGCTAAACAAACTAGTTTAAGATAGAAATTTACTTCTTGAAAGTTTGGAAGAACTGACATAAAATTATCTGGGTGTCATGGATTGAATTGTGTCCCCCCAAAATATGTGTCAGTTTGGTTAAGCCGTGATTCCCAGTATTGTGTGGTTGTCCTCCATTTTGTGACTGTAATTTTATGTTAAAGAGTATTAGGGTGGAATTGTAACACCCTTAGTAAGGTCACATCCCTGATCCAATGTAAAGGGAGTTTCCCTACGGTGTGGCCTGCACCACCTTTTATCTTAACAAGATATAAAAGGAAAGGGAAGGGAGCAGAATGAGGGGACCTCATACCACCAAGAAAGCAGTGCCAGAAGCAGAGCATGTCCTTTGGACCCTGAGTCTCTGCGGGAAGAAGGTCCTAGTCCGGGGGAACATTGATGAGAGGGCTGATAGAGAGAAAACCTTCCCCTAGAGCTGATGCCCTGAATTTGGACTTTCAGCCCACTTTACTGTGAGGAAATAAACTTCTCTTTGTTAAAGCCATCCACTTGTGGTATTTCTGTTATAGCAGCACTAGATGACTAAGACACTAGGTGTCTCGGGTCATTTTGTAAGAGAAACTCTTACTACCAGTTCAGTTAAAAAAACTTTTTTTTTTCCTGTTCTGTTGTCTGTTTCATCTGGATTTTCAGATATATTAATATGTGATTCATGATACATTTATTACATTTTTGTTCTGTGTTGCATGTATAGTTATTTTCTCTTCTTTGTTCTGTATTTTCTTGGCATTTTTGGCTGCTTTTTTCAAAACCCAGATATCTGTTTTATTATTTTTCAAAGAATTAGATTTTGGTTTTGTTGTTCTACTATATTGTTTTCAGTTGTCTATTTTCATTGATTTCTGCTCTTTCCCTTATTTTTTCTCCTTTTGGTGTCCTCAGTTACTTTCTTCACAACTTCTTGAGTTAAAAGCTTAGTTCATTTTCTTTTGATCTGTACTATTTACTGATAATTTTTGTAAATCTATAAGCTCCCCTTCAATTGATGCTTTAACTGCATCCCATAAATTTTCACATTCAGTGTTTTCATTATCATTCAGTTCTGAATATTGAGATTTTCATTTTAATTCAAAGGTTATTTAGCATATGTGTTATAGTTCCCAAATATTTGGAAACTTATGTTAGTGATTTGTTACACATTTCGAGTTTTATTGCATTATTGTCAGAGAATATTGTCTGTGTGACATGATCTTTTGTAATATGTTGAATCTTCCTTTGTGGTCCAATGTTTAGTCTACTTTTGGAATTTTTTAGATACGCTTGAAAAGAATGTGAACTCTTAGTTGTATATAGAATTCTATCTAGTTTCTCAAAAGTGTTATTTATACTCACATAATTAATAAATAGCAATAGATAATGAGTAAAAAGATGCTCAGTATCTCTGCTTAATTTTTATCTATTTCATATAGTATTTTCTGAGAAAACCATTAAAATCTTGTACTGTTGCTAATGTAGTTTTTTCTCTTTCTAGGTCCCATAGTTGTTGTTTGATTTACTCTGAGGCCTATTTTTATGATGGATATATCTTCTAGTACTATTGATCACTTTGTTAGTGCATAACAGCTTTTATTTTCTCAAGTGTATTTTTTTTTGTCTTAAATTCCATTTTGTCCAATAATGTCTTTGTTATCCAAACTTTTGGTTCAAATTTGCCTAGTATTGTTTTACCTCATCCTCCCACCAGCATTTCTGTGTCTTTTGTCTTTTTATTTACAAACTTTTTTGTCTAATTGTTTAATCCAATTTCAGAAATTGTCTTTTAATTGGTGAATTTTATGCATTTACATTTATTGTAATTGTTACTGTATTAAGATTTAATTCTACGATATTTTCAAATGTTTTTATTTGCTGTATACATATTTATTTTTATTTTTTCTGCTTTTAATTGGATTGATAGTTTTTTGTGTTGATTTTTACATTCCATTTTGTTTTTAAAGTCCCTTAATAGTCAAGCCTAATATTTTTTACCTTTTTGATTTTGTATTTTGAATTTCAAATTTACAGTTTCTATTGATTTCTTAATCTTAGCAATATAAATACATTATCATGTTTTCCTATCTCTTTGTCACCCCCTCATTATACTATTATCTAGAATTTCATTTTTTAGTTATTATAGCTATATGCTTTTTCTTTTTATTTATTTTTTGAATTATGGTATAACTTATATACACTAACATTCACCCATTTAGTGTACAGTTGTGAATTTTGACAGTCGTATTCAGTCATGTAACCACTACCACAAC